ATCTTTCATGCGATACCTTGGTATTTGCACGAGGATTCCGTGTTTTTGCATTCTCGTGTGAATCGTCTTACTCAACGGAGGAAATCTTGCATGTAGAATCGTGAACTTTAAAAATGATTTATTCAAATTGCGATCCTGGAAAGAATTTTTCCAATATAAATTCAAAATATAATTTCAATATTAATGAGGTATTTTGGATAGAAATTCGATCATAGATATTTTCAATCTAGCATTATCTAGTTTCATATAAATAATCAGTGAACATGTGAACTACATGGTGGGAGAAACTTAATTATTATAAAAGTGGTTTGTGGAATACCTTATGGTTAATATGTTAGCATAAATAAGAAAGCATTAATTCCAACACCCATGCCTCATCTCTGGAAAAAAAATGCAGATTACTTATCTTTCACGTTCTTTATACTAAATCGACATTATTTAATTATAAATTATTAGTTAATATATTATGTACTATTTTTTTTATAGTAATCTATTTCAATCTGATTATAAAATTAGTATATTATTATCACACTAATACTACTCCCAAGAATAATAACGTATGCAATTAATATTTAACCCAAATTTCAAATACCAATTAAATGTTAACCAAAATTCAAGTAGGCGTATAATCTTTCCTCTTCCTTTTAATTTGAAAGAAATCTATTATCATTCTTTCTTCATACGTCCTCGATTGGCTTGCACCCACTCTTCTCCTACTTCTAAAACCATCCAGTATTATTCTCAAATTACTTCTAACTTCTATATCCCAAAAAGACCTGCATCTCGATTCTCAGCATATTAGCCACATTCTTCAGAACTTGATTACAAACCCAATTATGCAATATCCTCAATTTCTTTCACTGAATTGGCCATCGTAAGAAAACGCTGTACTGGTCTACAACGTAGTCATGTTGAACGTTGCCAGAACGTCACGCGCGTTAATTGTCACCCAGATGTCGCTGCACTTCCAGCTGGTCCAACCTCGACGACGTTCCTGTGTCCGACAAAGGCTGTCAAGCGTACTAACCCGTTCTTAAGAGAGAAAGCTAGCTAGATCCCATTGTAGAAGATTGTTTATCCATGTTATCGTCGTCATTGGTCACAGCCGACTGCCCTGAAAGATCGATTCTGATATTAATTCATCTGGCTTTACATTCATGGTTGGTTTGTTCATGGTTAGTTTTAGATCATTACCTTTGATGTTCCGCGATTTCATCACCGTTGAGTCACGTCTGGAAAGCGACTTTGGAGTAGATGAGACTGCTGGTCGCGCAGAAAATCGTTAATTGTACGTAGAAAGTGGTAAATCGAATTAATTATCCGCTGGAACCTTCTTTCTTCTGGTATTCTCTCCCCTACTCCTCTTCCCTACTTCCATTTCTTCTTTTTTTTCTTTCTTATGCAGATGCTGCTTTCCTTGCGAAAATTTGCCAAACCACTCACGAGGTTCTATCATCAATCACCTTTCTCTTGGTGTGGCTGTTTAAAAGTTCAAGAAAAAAAAAAATATGAGAACAAAAGAGAAAAAGACATTGCGCCTCGTCATCATACGAACAAACGAGAAAAAGTTTGACGGTTCGCTTTTCTTCTTACCACTTTCGAGGAATCGGTTCGCGACTCGAGTGCTCGTCGAAGAATCGCTCTTTAAAGCGAATTCTTTGAACAAGCCGGGAATGCTGGAGGATTTTGTGTCAATTCCGTGAAACTGTTCGAGAAAACAGAATTATCGGATCTCCAATGGAATATTTTATGTGCGGTGAAGAACAGGATATAATCTATGATCTATAATCTGAATTCGTTCATATCATTATTCTGCTTCTTTAATTGTGCTATTCAAGATTAACACATTGTTGATGCTTTGTCAAGTGTATATACGAAATATATATTGTTACTTTTCATATATTGTTGCCTCTGAGATGACAATTTGTTCATTATAAAAAATGTCATCCATGTTACATATCAAAGATTGATGTTCCTTGCTTACTATTTCTTCGTTACTGAAAAAAAGTGTTGGTAAAAGAATTTATACAATATTTTACATTAAAGGTACTAATAATATTTTATCATTCAAGTATATAATGTTAAAAAACATACGTTATATTTAATATACTACTAACAAATATTCTTTTTATTTAGTTAATTAGATCGACTAACCTATAAATTTCATACTGCAATATGTATTTATATGTGCCCATGTGTACCATATTTCTAAAGAAAAAAACCTAAATAATGGAAGCATCAATTCACGTTTCCCATTATGAGTATTAATGATTAATAATAGACCTAAAAACAGCTTTTTCTAGTTTTATGATTCTCTAAAGGTAACTGTTTTTAACTTTTTTATTGCGCGTATAATAAAAAATTTACGTATTATATATTGGTTCTTATATGTCACCAGAGCATAACGTGAATAGGGATACGAGTTTATGACGAACCATGGGCATTCTTGCGAAAGTTTTGTTTGAAAGTTTTTGTGACCGAGGAGTTTATAGTCTTTGTAATTTTATAAATTGATACTTACATTTCTATTATGGGCTATATTTCTGCGATTAAATCACATTGTCTGAATAGTTCGTTAAAATCGGAAAGAAAAATAAATTTTCGTAATAATGGAAAAAAGTAATCTTCGTAATCAATCCTCATTAATTATATACAGTACATGAAACTCAGTTCCTGTGCTTGTTTTTTATTCGAAAATTGTATCCGAAATAACTTGATACTCTTAAAAATTATGAAAAAATTGGCCATCAATATCTCGTTGTATAGCTGTAAAATTAAATAGTTATATGTTTAATTAAAATTTTGAACTTCTAACATACTAAGATACAAAATATAATATATCAATATTTATTTTAACTAAGTATTTAAGTGAACACTAAAAGATTTTGTAGCATAATATTGATAATAAAACCTAATTTAAAATTTAAGAAAAAGAATTATAACAATTATCATTCTCTACATCATTCTTTAGCTACAATTATCCCATTAACTCACAGCAGTCAACCATTATCCTAGTTCGCGCCAAAAAAGAATCTTTCCAACCTATCTTCCCTAAGTACTGAAGCTTCGTCAATCTCCAAGCTCGTCCCAAGGTAAACATCGCGCGGTCAGTTTGTCAACTTTTCCCTCGCTATCAGTGCTCGTCCAAGCGCGAAGATATAATTACCTCGTATCAATTTTATCCTTCGTACTCACGCAATTACACACAATTATCACAAACGTACAATAAATTTCACTGGAAATATTATTTCGTTCAAAAGAAACACTACAATTTCTTCCATTGAATGTTTCTTATATAATAAGAAAATTTCGTTAACCAAAAACAAAATTTCATATGTATACGATGTGATGAAATAATGATACAGTCGTAATCCAGAAAGCGTAAAAGACGAATAGCTAAACGTGTCAAAACTTTGCCTGTTGATGTTAGCGATCTATCGTCCGAGGATTATTCAATACGAATATTACCAACTCCTTGTATCGAAAATGATGAACGCGACAGTGGCGCTCCACATTCAGCAGAGTTTTAGTCACACGCGATGCACGAGAGATGTCGCATGAAAGACAATCGGCTTACGATTGAAAAAAATTCCATCTACCTTGCACGGTTAAATTCCATGATTTCGAGATAAGAACGATCAACGTAACATCGGTGAGAAAAAGGAGAAAAAAGATAGGTGAACAGAGATTTCGTAATAATTAAGTTGCAGAAATAATTGAGTGGCCTGCGGAGAGTAAAAGTATTCCCAATAGCGGATACGCCTTATTACGGCGTTCGAGAAATGATTTCAGACGGCCGAGGGAACGTGGACGATGCATTAATGACGCGTAAGAAATCTTTCGATAGGGGGACACGGGAGCTGATTGCGAAACGATCTGGTATCGAGGTATGCAACGGACGATTGTCGTAAATCGCTTTATAACGCGGTAACGATTTATCACGACGATGGGTGGATAACCTTTCTTCTTTTTTTTCGATGTTTTGTATATCCGTGTTTCTTTACCGACGTTCTCTGCTTACGACCAAACTTTTTTGTTCCGGATCCAGTCTAATCGCGCGAAAATCATACTAAAAGTGTACGAAAGTTTCGGTATTTAGTATGATATATGTTTGCGTAATATTTGCGGTATAAGATAGTTTAATATGTGTCCGTGAATGAATAAGAGTGACTGTTGAATATGTATATAAATATTTACACATATTTCTTTTTCTGACCCTCTTTTTCTTTCTGTTGTGTGCATGCGTGCACATGTAATGTGTTTGATGTATGATGTTGATGGATCTGAAGACTAAAGTATAGACTTTTGAATGAACATTTTTTGTACGTAATTGGTGGAAATATAAGATACAGGATACAATGGTATTAATAAAGAGATAGGAGCTATTTCCTGTAATTATTATGTTAATGATAAGTAACTTTTGAACGCAAAACTTTTTTTTCTGTATCGCCCATTGTGCATTGTCTAGTGCGGCAAACATAAATGCCATAGATAAATATAATTTATAAAGATGTCTATGAGAGAGAGATATGTGACCGGAACTACAAGTGCATGTACACGTGCATAAAAAATGTGTAGCTTCGTCTTACTTTTTCGCATAAAGGTATCCGCTTTCGGGTTGCATCACCAATTCTGTACCATTTTGCATGTCATATTACGTAAAAATTTTTTGTTACACTGACATGTGATATTATAAATGTCAGTGTATATTTTTGGATTTCTGACATGAATTAAATATTAATTTCAGTTATTTTGTTTTCAACTCTCTGGCATGCATTCAGTCTGAAGGAATTTTAAGTAATAAAATTTTATTATCTTCATTCCAATTTTTTGGAATCTTAGAATAAAATACCGAATTTTAAAAAACATAAAATATTACATATTCACACGGAACACGTTAAACAAATCCAAGACAATAATTATATAACAGCACATAAATAATTGATGAACTTTTTTAAATAATTAAGTGAATAACATTCAAGAAAAACAATTTTGCGGAGATTTAAAAAACTACTTATGTAAAGTGTTTTCATATTTTTATAGGATGTCATAAAATCCTGTATCATCTTACGAGCTGTTTCATTTCAGTTTACTACTAAACAGTATCAACTAACACAATCCACCTAGAACCTTACTCTCTGATCACACAAAGAACAAACAAAATTTTACAACTGAAATTACAATCAAGTTCACAAGCTTACATAACCAAGAACGAAATGAATCATTACAAACAATACATGAATCTGATCACGGCCTAACCTCTTAAAGGATAAATAACATTCTCGATGTAAAAATGGACTTGGAACAACTGTACGAAGAGAAGAAAAGAAAAATCCTTGATATTTGAGTTCAATCGCATTCATTATCCAGGGCTAGGCAAACTCGAAGTAAACTCGACTGTAATTACTACCATCGGTGCCAGGAGATAATGTCAACGAGTGCAATCCGACGTTTTCGATCGGGCAAGTCGATCATTACCGCTCTCGCCGTTATTAAAACGCACACTGGTCGGCCGACAAAGAATCCACTCGTTTGCGTTGATCGTTATTATTACGGCTGCTCAACAGCGTAATTTCTCGTGTGGGAAAACCGGACTCGTTATCCTTTCTTTCTCGCCTCTCCTGGTACTCACTCGGCTCCCTTGCGACATCCTTGCGACACATCCTGCATTTCGTATTGGCCAACAGCGGAGCGTCACGGGGCCAGACGTGTTCCTGGCAAAAGGTAAAAGGTCGTTACAGGTACCATGCTGAAGAGATTTCTGAAGACTCCTCATTTCCAAGATCCTGAAGTAGTCAAGAAATATGATTTAGTTTAGAGATGTTTTATGATAATTGCCTGTGTATGATGGAGAATCATACCTTGATGAAGAAGGTCAAGGTTTGTAGGTATTACAATTATATTCATTTGATTTTTACGCATTTAATTAATTAATAATAAGTTGTAGGTCCCTTGAGCATGAGACTCAGGCAAGTGCCCCGTTTGCTAGGTGCTAAGGATGACACTACCTTTAAGTTTGGATTATGCAGTTTGATAGCAAGGTAGTTACTAGAAGGTTGATGGGTTTTGTTAATTAAGCGCAGAAGTTCGAGAAAAGTGGTACGGGAACTGGAATATGCGGAGAAAGTTCCATGTCATTGATGAAATATTGCTTGGTAAAAATACTGGAGAATGTGTTTCTCTGTACTTTGGTTTCTCTTTCTCGATTTTATGCATTTAAAATAAATGTAATGAGATGTAAATGATGGCAATCATTTGATGGTGATCAGGGATGCAAACTTTCTTTTCGAAAACTGAATTTATATTGCAGATACCTGACATACAGGTTTCTTATATATAGTGCCCAGAAAACTTTTAGTATCAATTTGAACTTGTTATGAAACAGACAATCAAACAAGGTTGTAAAAATTTATTTTCATTACAAAATGTTTAACTTTCAGTTCGTTACATAAAGAATAACAGCATTAATAAAATACCGAAAATTACCGTAACTTCAAATTGTAAAAAATATATTATTATTTATCATTGAGAAATCATATAAATACAAAAATAAATTTCAAAATTCATCTTTGAAACTACGTACCTAAATTATTAACCTCCAATCTCTATATTCTACTCGACCACCAATCAATTATTTACAATGTTAGTAACCTCCAAAAATCATTTTTAAAATTAACCACCCAAACTGTAGCCTCTGTATTCCAATCGACAAAGATATCGAATCCTTTCAACTAGCCAATTAAATCAAGCCGTATAAAAGAAACTCGCAATAATTGCAATTCTGTGTCGCGATGGAACACTGCGAACAGGCTCGTTCTGCTAAAAAGAGGTCCACAATGCCAGCTCGCAATGATCGTAACTCACCAGTGGGGCCATCTATCAATCACGCGGACTCCGGCGTGCCTATCAAAGCTGACCGTTCTGGGGCTGACTAGGTCCAATCGAGCCGTGGCATCGAGTATCAGCGGACGTTACCGAATATCATTCCCGACATGAATTATTTTGCCGCGCGGCTCTTGTCCACGGGACTTCTCGCGGTGGCTATTTTACATGGATGAATTTCGCGATGGGGGAAGAACGGAAACCGCGGTTCTGGGATTTCGTGACTCGCGCGGGGATTAAGTGGATGCTGTTACGAGGAAATGCACTTAGTGTCGCGCTATTCGCGTTAGACGAGTAACGGCTCTGCTGTCGCTTTGCGAGAGCAAGAAAGAAGGAAGAGAGGAACGAGGCAAAGACTTTGTTAGAGCTTGTGGACGATTCCGAGTTGTACAGGTCTTGAAGTGTTAGGCAAAGAGTGTCGGTTAAACGTTTTTGTATGATCGAGGGAATTTCTAATTGATTTTTAGTGTCAGTCGCCCTTCATGAATTTGAGAAGTGTCAGATGTGTAGCCTCTGGAATTTCAGGTACCGAAGTTGAGTTACGTTTACTACTTCTTTCTGTAACTTTGATGTTATTCATGTTACATTTTTTTCGTTTACTTATTGAATAGTAATCAAATAGGAACATGACAAAATATTTTAACTAGAATCTAGGGTGTCGAACATTAAGGAAAAAGTCGATGTTTCATTACTCTTGCTACTCATGCTAGTTTTATCTAATTAATGTAATAATTTTACGATCTAATATGCTGATAATAATCGAATTATCGGAAAATTTGTACTTACGTGCATTTTTAATTCTATATACTGTATTTAACCCATGTGAACAACATATTTAACCATTGCCAGGTTTTCTGACCGAGAGTTTCTGCTTATTCCACTTTTACTGTAAATGAACATATGTAATTATAATTATTAATTCTTTGTTTTTTCTTGCTTCATCATGAACGTGAATTGTATTAAGAGAAGTGAGATAATATTCAAGGTCCAATATTTTAAAATATTAATTAGGCAAAATGCGATGGAAGAATGATTAAAATTTTTCCAAAAAGAACATTATATAAAATATAATGATATAAAATATAAAAATGATATTCCTTCGGTACTTTGATTATACTTGCTTTACAATTTCACCAAAGAAACAAAACAGGAGCAATGTTGGTTTTTAAAGCTACTATTTGGCTTCTTTAACGATAGATAACTTTAACCATTCGTCAAATTATGTGGTAGCTCGACAACCAATGATTATAGCCATCGCAGGTATATCGAATGGTTGAAAGTACTATGCTTATTAACAATACTCTCCAATCTTAACAAACACTCCACGTTCCTAGTAAATGACTATGTAATCACCTCTACAATCATCCTTGCAACTTACCAACTACTTAATGATGCACATTAAACTAATCATACATTTCCCATTGAAAACTGTTCCAAAGAATGTCCTTTATTAGGCAGATAATCTTTTCAACATTTTTGTAGTGACACAAAGTTGCTATTTCCTCTACCTCACTCCAGATAGCATTATTGCTGTTAGTTAGCTCCAAAAGTTTCCATGTTTCCAATAGACTTGTTGAATTTATTATACACCAGAAATCTGAAAGGAAAAAATATATTTTGTAACTGTTTAAATTAATAAAAGCATAAAAAGATAGATCCAAGACTTTTTAATCCATTCATACATTTGAATCCTCAGATTCCCTTACTAGGACTGATTCGATGCACACACCAGTCTTTAGATTCGCAATACACGAACAAAATGCGATAAATGTTTCACCTTCCCTCCAGAGACATCATTAAATATATTTCATGAATTCCACAAATTTGCGCGAATTTGGTATTCATTTGGCAACATTCGACTGCAAATGAGCCGACCTGAATGAGTTAACGACATACAATTAAATGAGCCAAGAAAATCCTGTTATCCCGAACATTTTAATCTTCCTTGTTATTTCTATGACACATCCCATTTTACATATATAAAATATCAAATTGCATAACAAACGCAGCTAATGATTACCACCAAAGACTGGCCACATACTCATCAAACAGAATTTTGGATCACTTATCTCAATTCCATTTGCCAAGCAGTCAACAATTGCTGTGAACTTGAAAACTGCTCGTCACACCGTGCCACCCCTCCGCCATGAAGGCTCGCATTGAGGAAATCGCAATTTGTCAACGAGAGTAGATGGCTTTCACGGATAATTCTTTAACTCGCGGCCGCTTTGGCGGTGATCGCGCGACGCAAAGTCCTTTGAAGTAGACGGATACAATTCCGCGATGCTCGAGGAAATTTTGTAAATGCACGGGGACGGGCATGAAAGTCCAGAGGCCCGTTAGCGTTTTGTGTCGCGAGCGTGGCACGCGTGAAAAGTTAGTCTCTGATTTTCTCACTCCATCGCTCTCCAAGGCTACCTATTCTTTTTTATTTCGCTGCTGCTTTCCTCACGTCTGTGTGCACGCGTGTGTGGTACACGTGCAGCATAAAGAACCTTTTGACTGCACATGTTTCGGCGTACAATGAGGAACTGCCGACAAATGATCCCGTTTCAACGTCCAACGGCCCGTCGACGTTGCTGCAATTTTCTGCTCGTTAAAAATTCCCATGGCCGAACCGAGGTCGAGTCGAGTCGATATCTCGCGGCGGCGATGACGAGAACTAGATACGTCGTCGAGGAACGCCAATTTAGAAGAGGCGAATTGCCTGGACAAGCAAGAGAAGGAAAAAGGTTAAAGCGAATGGTTGCTATAAAGATAATTATTATGGTAATTCGTGAATGGGAGAAGTTGATTCGCCTGAATGTTAAGCTGAGAAGGGATTTTGTAATAGATCCTGCGATAGTCGTGTAATTATTGTTTACGCGTGTTGAATAACTAGTCGATGTTAAGTTTAGATTACAGAGAAGTTTAAGGATTTAAAAATATCTTTGGAGAATATTGACCTGTAGGATGTTGATAATTGGACACTAGCTATCTTTAGATGGTTTACTAGGTTGTTGGTTCTACCTCCATTTGAAGGGATTTGGCTCTGTGTCACAAAAAGTCTGGGAATGAGGATTCCTTAAGATGTATTATTTTCTAGGACATCAGTTATACATCATATAAGATATTTCTCATACATTTTGGATCATTGATAATTCTAAATTATGAAGGAACCTAAAAATAAAGATTAAAGTAAGTTACTTGTTGTTAATAAAGTTTGGCCACTTGAACTTTTAATATTAGATCATCCAAATTCTATTTATATACATAGAATAATCAGTCACTGCTAATTGTAAATCACGAAAAAACTGAAGGACAAAAATTAAAATGAGTTACTAAATAGGACGTTGATACCTGGTCAGTCAAACTTTCACTACTTGATCACCAGATGCTAAATACACCCCACTCAGGATTCAAACCGCGACAGTTCGAGGCTTAATCGAAATCAGGAGACGTTACAGTAACCTCACAGAGACAAGTCTATCTCCGTTCTTAAGACACATAGCATAATTTCCGTTTGCGCCATCTTGTTGGAACTGTGTTGATTGTGCAACCGTGTAATCGTTGGTATATAACCATATTAATAATGTTTTCTTGATTCAGTATGTTACACCAGATGTTTAACGTACGATGAGAGCTTCGTTGAGCAGAATATTGTAATATCTGTGAACAATTTCATTATTCATAAATTAGGATCATCCAATTTCCTAGTAATATTCACCATTTGGGAGATAGTATTTAGAATAATATGCATTTAATACATTGAATTCCGTATTTATATATTTAGTATTTGGTATGTAGAATAAAGCATGTATTTAAAACATATGATTACTCACTTTTTAATATATACATATACTTTTAATACATGCATAGAATGCAATTTTTTAAAAAGTATATATATATATATGTAAGAAAGTAGATTTCACTAAATTGCATTTCAGTTCCAAAATTTCTCCTATATCTACATCTTCTTGAAGAAGAGTTTTAGCTTGACCTACTTTAAAATCAGCATGTATAATATGACTAATACTGTTTGAGACTTTTAGCTTCTTACCAACTGTGGTGTTTTAAGCGTTTCCAAGTTCTTCTTACATTACAGATGGTTAACCTCGATTAAGTAAAATCCGATACAAACGATTTTGATTTCTGTATTCTCGTTAGATCTCACAAGTGAAGATTAGTAAGGATTCTAAAAATTAAAGAAGGATTCTATAAATTAGAAGAATTACAAATACCTGCAAATGATAAAATGTGCTAAAAATTAGACAGAAAGAATTAATAGGGATAGTAAAGAACGCTAAAGTGGGTAGAGATTCAGTCGCTTATAAGGGTAGCACCTACTGAATTATTCCTAGTAAGACCAAGGAAAGAAGAGAAAACCACTCCGTTTCTCGTCGCAATGATTCTATATATATATCACAAAAGAACATCACTATGTATATATCACAAAATACACTATATTATCTAACAACAATCTTCAAGTTTTAACTCCCTATCCCAAAAAACACATGTCCAAACAAAAATCCATTTACCTAACAGCTATTGTAAGCTACTGTTTTCCTACTTCAACCTTCCTCTAAACCATGGCTTTTAAAATGGTAATCAACACGGTAATCAATTCTTTCAACCGTGTTCCAGAACAAATTAACTTTCCAAAATTTATATGACTCCATTTATCTTTATCCACTTGATATTCCAAGGTACCGAGGACAATGGTGACTATCCTAACCACCCATTCGAGTTACTCCATGTTCTCAACAGTCTTTTACTTTAATCTTCCCAGCCGTATTTAAATTTACCACTCTAACTACCACTTTAATTAAAGCGTATTCTTCCAATGGCCGAGGATTTTCAGCGGTATGTAGATCGAAAGTGTCTGCGCTCGGGTAAATTCGATGGTCATTAAACTGTATTACCCCATTCTCGTGAACAATTTTTACCGCCATAAAAGCGAAATTCCCCTCTACTGCCGAATTTCGAGTACTGGCGTTGGCGATTTTCGAACTGCGTGGCTCACACCGTGGGTCGCTTCGAAAGCTTTGATTCCATCCCATGGATCGACGTATTTTCAGTCGAACGAGCATATTTTTATAGATACACGCGTAACAAGGCGTGCTCGCGCTCATTGGAGAGAAGCTTTAAACTGCACGGTCTCGTGCGCTGATACGATTCCGCATCGTAAACAATTCACGTAAAATCATCGATGTAAAACATATCGCTGAATTACGGCCACTCGTACGTCGCTTGCTCGATTCGCTCGATATTTGCTTGACTGCATGGAAATGCGATTGTTTGAATTGCGAGCCATTCAGATCGGAGTGCGCCTAAAATTCGATTATATCGCCTCACAAAAATACGTCCCATGATCGTCGCGCGAAAATCACGCGTCGGTCAGGCCTCGCTTTCTAATTTGCACAGTGATCAACCGTTGCAGTCATTCAATCGCAATCCCAATGCACGCATGACTGATGCAATGCACGGTCGCCCTTCACTATTGGAATTATTCTTAACTCTTAATATTCTATATCTATGTAGCTAAAATGATTTTTCAAATTTCTTGGTTCTGTAAACGCAAAGACCAAAAGCTGCGAATTTTATCTTGCCCCTGGCCATTGATATGTAGTATCCATTAAGTATCCAAAATGTCCTTCTCTTCTTTTGACATCCAAAAATGTTTCCTTCTTGATATCTCGCCATATGTACATAGATGCCTACAAAAGAAAATTTTTAATGTCAATAGTTATAGTATTTATATAGTAATTTTCATGATATTTCATTATGAACCTTCTTTTGAGATTTTTTTTTTACAAACAGAATGAAATTCATAATACAAAATAATTGGTAATTTTTAATATCAATTTAATTAAATATTAATTTACCAATTGGAAAAGAAGATAATGGCACGTGAACATTTAGATGGTAAAAATTTGTAGCAGTCAGCAGAATTTATACTGCACCTGAGGGATGATACTGTACTGGCGGGGAAATTATCTGGTTACCATAACATGACAGTCATGACTGGACATGTGAGATTCTATAGATGAGCCTCTGGAAATGCTACGCTCAGTGCAATTCACCATAGAGATTCAGTATTAGAATGATGGTACTCAACGAAGATGAACAAACACACTTGAGATTTGACAGACAAACATTCGAATTTCTAAGCTACTACCTTAATTGCTGATCAGCATTCTGACATCACATATTACATCAAACAAGTAAAATCACATATATAAATATATATAGATAGAGAAAATAGCGGATAATTAGAATCTACTAAAGGATAACGTAGTGAAGATAGAGAATTAGGATTCTCTACAGGATTATATAAGGAACGTAGACAATTAAAATCCAACAAAGGCTTATATGATGAAAATAAGGAATTGGAAATCATTATACTACATACGAAACATAATAGAACAATTAGAGGTATAAAATGTCAGTAAACAGTTTCTCAGACTCATTCGGCATAGTACTAGACAGCATAAAATGACGCAACGACAATTTAAAAATTATCAAATATAATGTCAGCAGTTACAAATTAACGAAATTAATTTACGAGC